TTCACAAACATTGCATGAAATTGTCTTCAAGCCTCGTGCTCCTGTGATTGGTAACTGTGGATTTAGGTTGTGTGAGCTCCTCAGGATAAATGTATGGTAGATGCTTTAGACAGGTAGATGGAATTTCCATGCAAAGAAAGTGAGTATGGTTGACTCTGTTATGTATTCAGGTGCACAGTGGTCCCTTATTTCATAGATGGCCCGATAGGAGACATCTCTTAAACCTTTTTGTACATGAGAAAGATGAGGCAAGACCATTAAGAACAAGGCTCTGTTAAAGACTGCTCACTGTATAGAAGTATGCAGCTGAGACTTCAGTAAGATGCTATTTAACCTCACAGGACTCTTGGAGCCTCGTCACAAGTTACATTAAGATTTTTTGTTAGATTTGTTATTAAAATTCAGGATAAAGGAAGTTTCAAGACTTCTCTGTCTCTCCAGAATGTTGCATCATTTAAAACGGCCTCCATCATATATCTTCTTTACATGTTCTCCTCCTTCTCCCATGCTGTGGTCCCTTTCATGGTAGGTTATTGCTTCTTACCTCTCAGAAGCTCTGCAAAACAGCCAGACAGATTGATTTTCCATTACCACTATAGGCTGTTCCTATTAATACGTGAACAATATTTATTTGTTAAGATATAATTAAATCACCTAAACTATGTGGGGTGTTAAATTAATATCCTTGGTCTGGGGGAAACCCACAGAAGTCAGTTCTAACACCTTTTAATGTTAGCCATACAAACTTACGCATAGGTGTACTAGACCGCTTGCTTTAATATTAGGCAAAGTTCCCTTCTTTCTGCATTACACTCTACAGGAAGATCTCAAAGAGAGCAGCAAGATATTTCTGAATGTTTCAGTGTCAATTATAAAACCATTTATTTATGCTTGCATATGTGTATTTTGTTCTTAAACCTTAAAAGCATTTCTTTAGGATTTAAGGAATAAGTTGCGTAAACTATTTAAAACTTTTCTACTGAAATCCCGTCCGTTTCCTCCACAGGTCCTCAAGGGCCACTGTAATTTGGAAGAAATACAAGGAGCATTATGTTAGGAACTTGGTGAAAAGAATGTATAAAAATGTCTGAGAATTCCTGTTATCTGCGGAGCATTTATATGGTAGAACATAATGGCACTTTTCAAGAAGCTATAGAAAACCATGTGTTGTTGCTTACTTAAGGACATTAACCTGCAATTTGTCATCTAAATGCACTTTTGCCTATCAGCTGGTACAGGGGGAGCCTGTATATGTTGATTTTACTGTTCCTCTTGCTATGCAAGGTCATTGGTTTCTTTTCCTTTCCTTCTGGTTTCTTCCTGTATTTCTTGGAGGAGTTTCTGAAGAAAACCTTAGGAAAAATTTCTGTTTCTTTCCCTAATATGTTATGAAGGCAGAATTACAGTGGATGAGTTCTGGAATGCCCAGCAGTACACTTTCAGAAGCATTTGCTGGCAAAAGTTTAGCATTGCTACCCCCTTGGATTTTTATACCTACTTTTTAACAGGTTTGAACAATGGCTACAATATTTAGCTGCTGCAAATTCACCCAGGATCCTTTTATTATCCCTACTCCCCACTCTACCTCTTTCTAATTAAGCAGTAACAGATGTCCAACCACAGTTACACCAATCCACGCTGCTACCTACAAGCACACCAGCTACTGTACTTTTATCTCCTCTGTACCTTAAAATCCTACCGCTGGGGAGTGGAGGGGCTGCATTAAAGCTTTTGGATGCTTAGGGGAAACTACACCACATTCGTCTCCCACTGCCGTTCTGTGTCATTCCTGAACCAGTTGCACAAACTCAGTGACTTTTATGCCTAAGTTAAATGCTGTTGAAAACCAGTAGAAAGATACTGTTAATAATTCAGATGCATGTCCTTGCAAGGCTCGGTACATATGTTGGTTGCATTGTGCAGGTCTTTAAAGACAATGCTTTCTTTCATTTTAATGAATGTTAATGTTCCATCTGGGTATGTAGGAACACACAGTATTCCTGGCATCTCGAATCTTCTCTCTGCCAAGTTACGCTGGTTTCATGTTGGATATTGCAGTTATCTGAGGTAGTTACAATGATTCTGGATCAACTGAGTAAAATGAAAAATGAATCTCTTAAATAAAGACTAAATTCTACTTGGGACTTTCAATAGCCTCCATAACTATAGCGTGCCCCACAATTTATGTTGCATTTAGCCTGACAACAACACTTTACTATCATCATATCTGGTTATTGTTTAGGGAACATAGGATCAGGCTAACAAAGTAATTTACCCAATATCATGCCAGAATATGAACCAGAATATGAATTTTTCCAGTCCCAAATGAGCATCTTGCAGCTTGAGAGCTTATCCTCATCACTCAGAAGTATGCATGGGATTCTCAGTGATGGGATGGGAAACTACTGAAACCAGATTACAACCTGGCATCAACACACCCTTTGCAGAAAAGGGGCCAAGTAAGGCCAGGCTGGATGTTTTGGCCATGCTCCTTATCTTTGAAGTTTCTCATGCTAATCCATATTACTTTATAAAAACTTATAGCTCTTTTTGAAGACTTCTCAGATTTAGTTATTTGAGGAACAATCTGACATTTTCACATTTCTGAAATATTTGCATGAATTTTGGGGGTTTATGTATAAAAGGTAAAAATCTTACTAATGAGTTAATCTCCTTCAACACTTTACATCATCAAGACTCTTTAACTCAGGGAAGAAGAAAAGAAGCATGAAACCTCTAAACTTTTTTTTCTCTATCTTATAATTTATAATAGCTAAATGGATCATTTTTGAATGTGTGTAATAAAACTCACTCTTAGGCTGAAACATTGCATTTCAGGTTCAAGCTGAATCCAATTTTTACAGGCAACCTGTTAACCTCTAGGCCAAAAATAGGTAGGGTTGTAATGGAAATGCTGATGAGCCTCAATAAAGCAACCCTACCAAATGACACAGTTTCATCTAGTATGTGTACATACACTGTTTTACTCCTATTATACACACTGTGACATCAATAACATCAAATACAACAAATGCATGTCACATAGGTGCAGAGATTTAAAAAGGATGGTGAATGTGAGAAAACCTTTTATGGTAAAATAAGAATACCATTTCATAAGCCCTTCTTGCAGTACAATTAATTACTGAGTTCATTAATTAATGAACATATTAGAGAAAGAACACCATTACTGACCAGTCGAGACCTGATATATTACTGAGTCAATAAACTATCGAACATGAAACAGGACCTTTCAGGAGAATTTTTTTCTCATAACCCACAAACACATATATTATTCTTGCACAGTCAGCATTTCTTTGGTACCCTTATATTTCATATTACTAATTCTTTTAATCACACATACATACAGCAGTGTTTTATAACCTAGCTAATGAGTAATTGGACAGGTGACATTGGGACTGAGGCCCTGAAGTGTAAGGCATAATAGAGCAGGATATTTTTTTCCCCACTAGGTTTTTGAGAGTAAAAGATAGTAAAAGAGCAGATAGGATAGGAGGGAGAAAGGACACTTATACCAGAACTTTGTCAGAAAAATAAGATTTTAAGAGGATTCATGAACTATAAATGGCTTTAAATTGCTGACTGATGCAGCTAAATATGTAAAGAGATAAAACATTTAAAATAACTGAACCTTTTTCATTGTCAGCAACCAAAGAGTTTAGCTTGGCCAAGATAAATTTGAATGTCATTTTCTTTAAGTCAGTATAGTTAACGTAATTCTTTTTTGATATGGAAAGCATGTGCGTGGGTAAGCATTAGTTGTCTGGAACAGGCAAGAGCCTTCATAATGCTTCAGTATCTCAGTGGCCATAGGTACCAACCACCCTCCCCCCACCTTTGTCCCCAACCAATCATTGATTGCATCTAAATCTATAGAGATATCTTTTCCTGGCAGCTCTGGTAGTTACAGTAGATTGTTAATCTGTGAATGATCAGAATAAGCCTCTTGGTCTCAGAAATCTCCATGCAAATTACATCTAAATGCATGCCATAAATTTATTAGTAGCAGTTTGAAGTGCATAGGTCATCTTCTACACTATGCAAAAACATATGTCTGTTACACATTAAAAAGAGTATCATTCAAATTATATTCACTTTTCTTAGACGTAGCTAGCCCCTGTCAAAGTAAACCTATGTAATTTTTGAAATAAATTTTAAAAGGGAGGTAAGATATTAATAAGGGGTATTATTTAAGCAAATTTTAGATCTCTGCATGGGATTGGAGTTTTAGCATCTCTGCTTTGAAATAGTTTCATCTTTTGCACACAGAGAAATATATGTTTGACAAATAGGCAGTGCTAAGAGGCAAAGGGTTATGCGTAGATATTGGAGAAAGTTGTAGATGCAAAGGAAAGTTCTAGGATGTTTTATGAACCAGTTGTATTCTTGCACCTTGATCATTTTATGCTATTTTGGGGAACACATCAAATCCACGAGTCTTTTCTGTAGCAGAGTTAGATCTTATGTGAACCCCAAAAAGGAAACTTGAGAATAACCTTTGGATACTATGGGGGAAGGGGAAAGAGATCTGTAGTTTCCCTTTTTGTATGCTTTTGTTTCCTCATTTTACTCTTGGTTTTAATCAAGCTGATATGCTGCTATAGTAAGACATCACTAGTAACATTTTCCTTCAGGCAGTTGCTGGAAGACCAGGAAATTTGTGGAACACCTACAGAATCCTCATCCAACTACTTTTTTTCTGAAAGGAAATAGAGCAATTCTTGTAAAGACTTTAGGAATGTATTCATCTCCATGGGACAACAGACTATGTTATTATTGAATAAGTATTTTGGTTGTCATTGCTCAGGGATACTGATGCATGTTTTTGAAAGAAAATTAATCTCTACTTAAAAGAATGAGCAGTGCTTTGAATGTTAGAAAGCTGGTTTTTGGTGTACAGTTAATACCCTTCTAGCCCTCACAACAGATATATACGAGAAGGAAGAAAGTCATTAATATGTGTTTTCTGTTTCTTTTTCCAGGCAATCCGCTGTACACTGGTAAATTGCACATGTGAATGTTTTCAGCCAGGGAAGATTAACCTGAGAACCTGTGATCAGTGTAAACATGGCTGGGTGGCACATGGTAAGAAATGTCTGTTCTGGCCTTGTCTTCTCTATTCTGTCCATCTTTCACAGAATCTTTAAATACTAAGAGCTGGAGTGGTATAGACAGTAGTGATACCTATTTGTCTGTACATATATGGGTATGCATGCACATACTTTTTTTACAGGGATTTCTAGGGCAGAAAAGTGAGATTCTGTTACTCTGGCAATAGCTTCAAGTACCACTGGAGTTCAACAGCTTGTGTACAGCTCAAAAAAATATTCTAGCCTCCAGGAAATAATGTAGTTCTAGCAGGGCTGAGCAGAAAGGCAAAAAGTTTGTAGTACGGTTACACAGCAGAGTTTATATTGCAAAGAAGCATCAGCCAATAAGTCACTGAGCCTAATGGAAATTCAAACATAACGGTGTCAAACTTTCAGGGCTTGGATGTCAGAATGAAATGAGTGTATCCTATATGGCTCAACAAAAGTGCGCATATATGATCTGTGAGTTGAACCTCTCTTCCCATGTTTAAGTAGTTAAAGAAAGAAAGAAGGGATTAGAATACCCAGATCCTATATAAAGGCATCAAAATACACTTCTACGCCTTCCATTTTATTTATCCTTTACTATTTTGTGTGTTTGGTGGGTTTTTTCTTGACAGTCTTTGTTAAGCTATGCATGAGAGAGAAAGAGAGCGCCGTATACACAATTAGAAGGCAATTAAGGAGGATACCTAAAATGGTTTAATGGGAAAAAAAAAAAAAAGAAGAAAAAAGAAAGGGGAAAAAAGAGAAAGATTACTATCTTTGCAGAAGAAATTAGTGTTGGAGATTTCTTCTCATGGTCTAGGCTATTGACATCTAAGCAAGCACTGTCTTCATTCCACACTCCAGATATTCAGTGGGTTATATTCTATAAATTTTATTTTATTTTGATGAGTCCTGGGGCGGTAGCTTAGTACTTCCCTCCTAAGACACACTTGATCTCTATTTAGTTCATGTCTGTGTGTATTTGTGCTGACATATGGAAAGTGTGAATGCTCAACAGATTCACAGACTGCCAGAGAAGTTTTTAAGAAATTCACATACGTGGAAAGGAAAGGAGGAATGCAGGTACCATGCAGTCCTGTGTCACTGCATAGTAATACATACAGCCTGCCTAGAAATCCCCTAACACCACTGATCTGGTAGCTGGTTGCAGATTTATTATATACTAGGTTCTCTAGGGACACAGCTTATTTTCTCTCCTCTTAATTCCCAGAAAGACATCTTCAGTCACAGTATAACCAGACTCACATTTCTTGGTAGGATCGCTAAACCTCACAAAATTTCTATAGTTCAGGCATGCTTCATGCTTTTTGTAGATTCAGCATCTGAGGTTTCACTGATGCACAGATAGGGAAGATTTGTCTAGCTATTTTCCTGGATGTCCGCCTGTTGAATAATAGAAATTAGGAGCCTAAGATTCTGGCATATGGGCATCCTGCATTTTCTTTTTAACCAGTACGTCTTAGAAGAGTGTGATCAGATTTTCCTGATAAATTCTTCCTTGTGAGGTGGCTGAATTCAAAATCAGAATACATGACAGTAATCTGAGATTACCACAGCGTGTAGAGTAGAAATGTCCCCATTCTACAAATCCAGAAAGTTGAAAGGTGAATGTGATGATCAGGGATACACCACTTGCTCCCATACCTGAGTGCTTAACATTCAGCTATATGTTATTAGAAAGTGTTTGTTTTACTACTGCACCAAGCAAAGAATGCTCTGATTTATTTTTTTTTTTTAGTACACTTTATGTACTTTCGTCTGGAATATTTACATTTTATGGCAGAGAGAGATGAGTCAGATGTATGTTTCATATACATACTCAAAGCACAGGCTTATAAATTACTTCCTGGAGACTATGATGCATCTGCTTTAATTCTTGACTTTAGCTCTTTTCCAGGATTTTGAGGGCAGCGTTCAGGAGACCGATCAATTCGTTGCACTGTAGCGCCTGGATTTCAAAATGACTGAATCAGGTTGCTGTTCAGAAGCGATTTTCTTTAAACCGTTAGCACGGTACTTTCAGAAGTTGTTCCTTGAATGCAAATAGTATTTCCTGCTGCTTTAATTAAAGGGTTTCCTTCTGATTTTTATTAATGAATTTCAACTCAGCTCCTTGACAGATGATGTAGTGCTTTGCTGAATGTAATTATCAAAGAATAGGTGTTTCCAACAGGAAGTACCGTGCTTACTCAGTTCTGATAACCTAGAATCATAATTAACTGAATAGATCAAAAATAGCTTAGAACTGCAGTCTTCTCATGCTGTACTTGACTAATCTGTGGAGAGTTAATTCATGTTAATAACTGCCATTTAAAATGTCCGAGCTCTTGGAAAGGGCATATAGCCACCACAGTATCCTTGCACTTAGCAACTGCTGGCCTGTTTTCTCTTTTCCTGCTTCCATTGTCTTTCTCATGTTTTTCCTCGCTTACCTAAAATGAGCTGCACACATCGTTAAAGGAAAGGTTTCCTGCAAGTTAAATTTCTCCTGTCTGGAGTTGCCAGAAGTAGGATTGTCAATATATGAACAGATTCATCAGAGGAGTTCTTTTGTGGCAAGATAAATGTTTCTGTTGGCAAAAGTTCAGCTTATCAGGTTTTGACCCTGCACCCCTGTGCTACAGTGGTAATCCTACCATCAGTGTTTTTAAGGCTGAAGCCAAAAGCTGTGTAGAGTGTAGCAGCATTCTCTAGTACTGCTGTACATAATGAAGAACGGGGTATTGCTGGTGCGAATCTCTCAATATTTTAAGGGATTTGGATAACTAGACTGCTTTAATTTGTTTTCAGCTGAAGCCTGGCTTTCATATTGTCAGCTTGGGTGGGGATTTATTTTCTAAAAAAAAAAAATAAATGGTTTAAATTGGATAAGACATTTCCGAGGCCTCAAGCAGGCAAACAGATAACAGTTAGATGTTTTTCCTTCTTTTTTTTTTTTGGTTAATGGTTAACATACTTTGTATAGTCCATATGGTGAAAAATAAAACCTTATTAAAATCTTAATAGTTGATTTTTTTTTAAGGAAAATTTATTTTAACACAGGCAATTGCCATTTTGTGGCTTTTAAATAATGTAGTAGTAAGATGACTACAAAAAATTAAGACTGTCTTGAGTGCTTGAATTGGTTTCTTCTCCTGATATTTTTGTTATATTAAAAGTAACATGCTATACTGTGAAGATAGTCATGACGTTTTATTAGCTTTAGCACAAAAATCACTTACTCAAACTTTATTGGGAATAATGAAATAACCCCACTTTATTTGCCACCCACTTCCCCTAGCAGAAGTATCTTAGCCTATGAGGAAAGAAATAAAGCAAGTCTGCAGTAAAAAGATGCTGATTTCATTGACTTTGCATTTTGCCTTGTATGCTTGTCATTGATGTCAGGATAACAACTACCATACTGCTAGCAGAAATACTCTTATTATACCTAGTCCAACGGATCAAAAGACCCAATGCAGTATCAATGGGAAATACAGTCTACCCTCGCACATTACTATTTTGCTCTAAAAAAGTGTGCCAAGGTGACATATGTCATAGTAGACTAAAGCTCTTATTTATTACATTCATTCTATTTAGTCTAGTTTCAGTGTCTCAGACTTCACAGTGGCTTAAAGAAACACAGTATAAAATTATTAAATTTGTCTGAAATCATTGTTGCCTCATTTCAAAGAGAGTCAGAATATTAGAAATACTAGTTCTCTCTCTTGCCCTCAAATTGATCACTGGTAAAGCTCAATCAGACAGCAACAGAATGTTTTTCAGATGTTTGTGGTATACTGTGCATCATTGGACTAGCTGAACTTCACGCTGTTCAGTCTACGCTAGGAAATGAAAAATTCTGTGAACATTTTTGCCATCTTCCGTTTTTTTCACTCAGAGAAAGCTGAACCTTAGTCCTCTAGTGATCTTTGATGTCTTTTCATCTGCATCGTGCCAATCGGCACAGCTCAGGGCTGGGCTATTTATTCAAGCAGGCTTTAGTACAGGTCTGAGGTATGATGAGGCCATGTGTAGCCCCATCTCCAGTCCAAGCCTTGGCCAGGCCTTTTCTCAAGTAACTTTGAGATTGACTTCCTTTCGGTTTTAATGAAAGTGACATTAACTAGTAGGTTTTGGCACATAGGGAAAATCCATTACTCTTTTTTTCAGTTTAAAAGCTGCCATCCAGTGAATACTCATGCTCAGAGACTTGCCATGTGGGTTACACTTTCACCTTGTGAAGGAAGTTTTCTGCTGCCACTATTTATATAATGCATGTACTAGCTTGCTGTAAATGAGACAAACAATGAAAACAACAAGCTCCACTAGAAAATGGAGAATGCTCTGTAATAAGATGCTCAGATGCATGGCATGACTGTGACTTCTTCATTCAGAATAGTTGAGTTTTCTGAATTTCTGCATGGTAGTTCATGAAATTGTCAGGTAAAAGAAACATGAAGTGAGAACAAAAGAAAGGAAGGACAGGTGTAAATAAATAAAGAAGAGAAAAAGAAGAATGCTGTGGAAATTTTCAAAATTGTATCTCTCCCTTACCCTATATTTGCTGAAAGGACTTGGTCCGGGAAGATTTTAAATGTGAGCTGCATGGGAATGAGGCAGGAAGGAAGAGCAGTGCTATGTTGAATTAAAAATCAGCAGGGTGCCTATATTTGTCTCAGTCCAAAGCTGTTAAGTGAAAGAAATCCAGGTTTGCAAAGTCAAAGATCATCTTAAACAAAACAAAAGAAAACAAAACAAAACCAAAGCACATCACAGATCTTAGAGTCTCTCTAAAAGCTGGTAGAACTGCCATGTCATTCTTCACTTAATGATCTTTTACTTTTCCTAAAAAAAAAAGAGAAATGTAATCCTATTGTTATAATTTTCTGCTAAAATAATTGGGTCATTTTTATATTGTTCCATAGGATATAAAAAATAATCACAATTTTAGCATACCAAACTTATTGGTTCCTTCTACTCAGTTTGTTTAACTCTTTAAAATGC